TAAATACTAGTTCGAGACGGTGCACGAAATTAAGCGCGGATATTAGAACGCAATTGGAGTCGAATACAGCGGACTGTATTCGATGGGCTACAAGAAGACGCGGACGGATGAGGCGAGACAAGAGCAACACGTTAGCGCGGGAACTTACAAGACTGTCAAGTGCCGAGCCGGATGTAGGTCAACATGGACGTCATGTAAGGGAGATTAAAACAAGAAAGAATAGTGTACAATTGGTCATCAGCGAAATTGTACATAAAAGATAGTAGTTATCTTTGGGGGCGCTACAAACTTTATCAAATGCGATTTTGCAAATGATTTTTCCGACTAGATTTAGTATTTCGCCGGACGCGTTGTGACAACCTTATTGATGTGGTCCCATGTGCTCTTGGAAATGATGTGTATATCAGAGGCCGTATCGAACTGACGCTTGGAAGGAATCCCATTGATAAGTACAATGATAAACCGTCCGCATGGTTTGAACTCAGTCTGGAAAGTGACCACCATGACAGGGAGTCTGCAACGGCATCTTGCTATCCTTCTTCGGTGGAAACATTTTCCACGTTCTTCGGCCATAATTGATTGCAAAACCCTTCCTTATGGTCCTGTCTGTGGCACTTTTGGCAATGTACTTTTAGAATGGGAAGAATAGGGTAAAATTCTACTAACTACGTGACAAGCAGAGAATGCGCGGTTTGTTTTGTGGCTTCAGAATGGACTTGTCGGGTGTGTTTTACTTGGACTTTGCCAAACATAAACATTTCGTGACTATGCGGATGAATCCTCGACTATGACAGTCAGCGATCACTTGCGTTCGGCCATAAGTGACTAGCCTCGTGTCTGGGTCTTGACCAAGCTTCGACAGGAGTGCCGTGCTGATCTGGGCATCCTGTGAGGATTAAAGCATCGATGATCATCCGTCAAAGACTGTAACTCGAAGCGTTCACACTCACGGATGACTACGTCTACCAGTGCCCCACAGTCGTTAACGCCCCGCTTAAGAATTTGCAGACGCTGATAGCAGATGTCGGACAGTGACGACGTACCGAAAGTATCGCTGCTGTGACATCCATTCGTCATGGTCTCTTGGCTGTTTTGGTGGTATATGAAAGATGAACCTAAAATGCTCATTTGTGCCACCTTAGCGCAGCAGACGTACTTTCCGGGAATCATCTTGAAGGCTGAAATTCTTCCTGAACATACCCAGCGTTTGAATCGCGCGTCGAAAGCACATCCGGAATCAGCGTCAGAATTGAATTCGGCAATCAAATTGAAGAAGAGAACCTGCCTGTGTTCCTCGAAGCAGACTGAGCCACTGGATGAAAACTTCCATCGGCTTTACATGTGTATCCATTTGAGAACAAGGAGACCGTTTGGTGAGCAACTGTTTTCAATGATTCATCATCAGACCAGTACAATCATATATAGGGCTGGAAAATGGAGAGAGTAAAAGCGACCAGTTAGTACAAGTAACAGATAAAAATCGAAACGAGTTAATTACATGTTACGGAGTTTGACCTCAGTATCCCCCGTTTTCTCGGGCCAGGGAAGCTGTAGGGCCTAGCTTCTTTTGCGAGCATAAGGACGGTTGAAATAATCGAATGCGTTCCATTTGAGTTGCTCTTGCCAAAGTAGAATCTGAAATTGCTCTGCGGTTCATTACATTTCCAATTTTCTCTATTGACGCCTCAATGCGATTCCCACTGGCGTGAACTCGTAGTCTGCAAGCTACAATCCCAATCAAAGTCAACGTCTTAATGCAAAAGCGCGCCTGAAGATCATCTGCTGAAAACGGGTACCATCAGTGTTGGCTACTGGAAAAGTAAAGGACAGCTGCCAGAAATAGTAGTGTAAGACATCGCGACTAACGAGCAGGTATGCCACGCGTCACATGAATGTTCTTGAAATGACTTGATATTTCAAGTGATGATGACTTTTCTTGGAAGATCTTACTTGCTCCCGGATATCACGTGTTTGCGCAATCAAGAGGCAGAGAGCAGAACAGCGATTCAAACCCGGAATTTCGGACGAAACCTCTATACCTAATCCAACGAGTCGCAGCATGACGACCCTATCATCTGACCGGCTGTGGACGCATTTCACTTCTGTTAACCAACTACGATCTGGGCACCGAAGTGTGGTGGATCCAGTTGCCACGACTCGCGTCGCCAGAATAACAAATAATAACTGTAAGAAAATGAGATTGAACGTAAATGAATGTAAGGAAAATGGGATAAACAAAGTGTGCTAACTTATTATTATTATTATTATTATTATTATTATTATTATACACGTTAGCTGCAGCTGGAAAACACCTCAGCTATTGGGCCGCAATACAAAAGAAAAAATATGAGGTACGCCGGCTGACTCCCCAGTAACCGATGGACATCATCCCGGAGAGTTGACAGCCGGATATTGTGCCGCAAAGTAGTCATACTACCCCTAATAATTGAGATCGTAGTAGGAGGGAGGTTAAGCGGGAGGGGAGGGACAAAGAAACAATACGAACGCCACTGGGGCCGGCTCATCGCCATATCAGCAAGTGTGTCCAACCACACGGGTTCATCATCTTTAGCACCCCAGCCATTCAATCGGGATGCACCAACCGACGCCAACTCCGAAGTAAGGGGTTTCATTTCTCTCGACCAAGTCATCGCTTGATCTCTCCTCTTCGTCCAACCGCACTCGCGGCGCGGAAACAGTGCACATCGCGGGAGTCGGTATGCTGCATGCGCAAGACGTGGCCCAGCCATCGGAGCGTGTTGCGTGAAATAATGGTGCTGAGTGGTTCACTAGCTCTTCCTGCAACAAATACGCAATGCCGAACACGCTCATTGCTCACGCGGTGCTCCCACCAGAAATGAGCCTAGCTGCGAAGGCAGCGATGGTTGAACGTGACCAGCCTATTTATAGAATTGAAGACTAGTAGCTCAGGTTGTTCAGATGGCGGTTGAACTGTTCGCTTAGTTTGGCAATTTGTTGCAAACGTTTCATCGCCAATTGAGGTGACATCATCAATGCGTAGTCGGGTGGCGTGCAGCAGTGTGGAGCAGCGTAGAGGAGCCTCGGTGACAGTGCACTGAGCGTAGTGTGCGTGCGTTTTTTATGTCTGTCGACCTGATGGGCCAGGTTTCACAACCGTATAAGAGGGCTGAACGAACTGCTGCATTATACATCGCCCCTCAAATGGCGGAGATTGGCAAAAGCACCTCGAGCTTTTGCTTTGTTAAACTAATCAGGATGGAATTAAAGTTAAACGGCTAAATGCAAGAAACGGAATGCAGGAATGCCACTAAATGCGCTATGCCTGATAGTCTCCAATCACTGATGTGGACCATCCCAGAGCCTCCATCCACGAAGACGGTACGCACCAGCCTGACCAAGTCTCTAACTCAATTTCATCATGCCTTTATGCCACGTCATCGAGTGGGAACCTCGCGGTTTCGCTGAACGGCGTATAATGAACGAGGATAAAGCCGGTCAACCGACATACTTAGAATATGACTTCGTAAACGTAAGTGATAGAGGTTTCGCAAGCACTCGAGTGAGGTACTAGAAGGGTTCTTGCCAAAACTGACCGGCGGATCTCAACATTGCTCGCCCGGTGTTTCCTCCAGACGTGAATAACACTGCGCAAGTATAGGTTATCAAACACGGCAAAGCGTTTTATATCTTCACTGTGAAATTGCCAGGTACCTGATGCCCTCGTAGCGTTATACGCCTTGTCTTTGCACGGTAACCAGCTATTTGTGACGGTATGTTGTTAACACAAGGTGTAGGCGCCTTGACCCTGGCGCGATTGAGAGTAAAAAGCGGCTCTCAGGTTAAGGAAAACCACCATAGTCGGTCGTCTGTAAGTATGCCCTTGCTTTAACACTTGACGAAGAATAAATATGTGGTCGATGCAACCACGACCACGGCGGGGGATGAGCCTGTGTCAATGATTCTTCACACACCAGTATCTCTAAGTTGTGAAAGATGCCCACGATAAGTTTTGAGGCAATGGAGAGAAGGCTAATATCTTGATGGTATTCACACAAATTTCGTTTACTATTTTTGAAGATGAGCACGACAGTATCCGGAATTGTATTGGATAGATCAGCGAATCCAGTCAACAAAGAGTCACCTCCATCTTTCGGCAAACGTAGAAGTAGGTCGTCGGGTCCAAGAGCCACGTTTCGATTCAACACGGAAAGTTCATTTCAAATCACTTTAAGAGGGGGTGTAACATCAAATTCCCACTTCGACTAAGCAAACTGCAGTGTAGCAGCTGGTCTATTGAATTGCTCTTCAGAAGGTTCCGCCCAACAAGTTAGTCGACGCGATTGAGAACGGATCCGGTGTCCATTTTTCTCAGCTGTTTCCCTACTAATTTAAGGGATTTCTCGGACCCGTGTGTAGTGGTGGTATGATGCCGCACCCGAAATAAGGGTAGCGGATCGAACGAGGAATTGAGCGAGCATGAAGCCATCAGCTTGAAGGCTAATCGATCGCCGCCAATACAGTCTGATGGTAATGACACAGGCAGCATTGATACTACGATTGATTTGGACGGACAAGAGCAAGGCTCGATCGCCGACCAAAAAAGCAACAGCAATGCAACATATAAAATAGCGTTGCGTCCTCTGATTGACAGAATTTTCATTTAAGCCTAGACTTCGTTCTTGTTTCTCAGAGAGCCATCACGGTACCGTGTTCCGGTTGAGCTAGAAAAGCACTCCGATGTCTTCAACAGCACCTGACTTCTCTAGCTCAATGGCTTTATAGCAGTAGGCGCCGAAGAGAAATAGCACTAGAGATGTTGGACTTACCATCAGAGTACCGCTCATTTTACATGCTTAAAATAAACCCTTATTCAACTAAACCACAAATGATGCCAATTAATATAAGGTTAGCATTCCGAAGTGAGTCGCTGGATACTTCCCGATATTTGAGGTACCTTCTTTTACTCTTAATGCTATTGATATGACCCACCAAGACCTGTCAGAACGGAAAAGCGGTTTCTAGTGAACGCAGAGTTTATAAGTTGTGGAATAGCATTTGATTCTTGGGTACATAAATGCGTATATCACTCATCCACAGTCGAAGGCGAGGCTTTGTTGCAAGACTGAATGCCAACATGAAATGCTTATTACAGGTTACAGATCACAGGCGTTTTAGAGCCTTTTTATTCGCACAAATTGCTTGCTGTGCTCTTCCGGCAGGTTTGTGGGGGGACGGACCATTGGAATCACGTAACCTGGAAAACAAACAGCAGCGGATTATCACACAAGCAAAGAGCGTCAATAACCAGAAAAGTTCGATGCGCACGAGTTTCAGCAGTTTAGCTGCTCGGAAGCATTCGATAATGGGTAAGGTTGTTCGTTTAATACATGTTAAATTCACGAGAACGCATTAGCGTCGCCCCCAAAGTAAAATTGAATACAGTTGTGGAAAATACGATAACAATTTGTTGTATTGGTATAGACTGAACGAACAGACTTAATGTGGCACCTCGAGCTATGGAATGTTGCCGGAAAGAAGTTTGATAAAACTGACATCGCCCTCGTTGATCGATCAACAGTCTGTAGTTAACTGATAGGTTCATTTAATAACCACCTGACGGTGACTTCCGGTTGTTTCGATAAGAGTGGGTGCCATAGAGCATAGACCACGGTAAAACGCAACCGGTAGAAAACGAAATAGATGAAATAAATTGTGACTGCGCAGTTACACATCAACTGAGATATACATAAAAAGAAATAAATAAGATTAGCCGAAGCTGGCAAAACACGCGCTGCTCGAAACCAATAGATTCGCCGACGAGAATTTCCCTCGTAACCAAATAGCCTCTGGAAGGACCAACTTGTCACTGCAAATGCTATAAAAACCGATAAGCATATGTGTATGGTGTCTAAAATAGCGACGGCTAGCAGCACGCAGTCACATTGACATTAATGCGTCCGGCCACTGCCTACGCAATGTTTTCACGAAGGTCAAACCGGAGTACGCGGGAGCAACAAGCTGGTTTTGCTGTATTAGTTGAGATGGTTCGGTCACGTCTTGCGTATGTCCGCTGAGCGTTTGCCCTATCTCGCTGTTTGCTCGTACAGGACTCAACTGGAAGAGACCATGCGGTGGTCCACCACCCACCTGGCGACAGCATATGAAATTGTTGACTTCACACCCTTCCAACACTGGGCCCAAATGACGAGGAGTGGCGATGACTGAAAACAAGTTAGGATATGGATCATAATCGAAACCAATGGAGTATCTGTGATCATAATTGTTTACATTTGGATGCGTAATGCTTAACTATTGAACACGACAGAAATTAAAAATGACGTGTGCAAAAGAAAAAATGCTCCATTTTTTCTTGTATTGCGACACAGTAGCTGAACTGTGTACCACACTTTCAGTTAATGTGCCATGATGATACGGTGTTAAACCTGTCATCTTCCAGTGATTTCCATGGTTTTGTTTGGCAGTCTATTTAATAGACCGCTGCCTACACTGCCACTACTATTACTAATCGGGGCAAAGGTTGAGCGGCAATCTAAAATAGATATTTCGCTTTGAGTCCGACCTGTTATACATAGTCCTTGATTCTTAATGTGGAGAGCAATGTCATGTTGGCGACACGAATGGCGGATGCCAGAGTAAGGACTTCGGCCTTGTAAGTCTATCTTAACGCCAACTAATGCTCATCCAACATTTGCACACACTGCCTTCGAAGCTGTACACAGTCAGCTCAGTGGGCCTAGGTCGAACTGAGTGAGTGAGAAGGTTTGCATGGGGTGGAGCGTATAATTGTGCAGTCATTAGCTCTACGGATGGGACTTGCGACTTCCGCCGATCGTTATCGTCATCAGACTGTGAGACCCGCGTGTTAAACAACACCAATACATCGCTTTTTTGAAGTGATATCTGTCTCCATGCAACTATAATGATCAGGGTTAAGGAATAACAAGTGGAGGACAAGAGTAGTCCAGTGTACTTAAGATCCAAGTACCTTAGCTATTCTGCGACAAGGAGAGCATAAATTGTCAAAAGCAAACGGTTAAGTATCGTACGAAGGTGGCATCAGGTAGATAGATTCTTTGCGGCTTTCAATGCTATGCACCGTAGTTAGCCTTACTCCACAGATACACTTTAAACAGGTAATCCGGCTAGATGACAGCAAATGCATCATTGATTCCAGCTGCAAGCTATGCTTTGCAAATAATAGAGCGAAACACAAAGTGGATCACTTCGGCAACGGCCTAGAACGCGGAACGGAACTACATCTCACAGCTTAGACGTCGATCATCACGTTTTCCTCGTCTCCACCATCACCACTAACAACAGCAATAGATCAGTCATTGGAACTGACGCGTCGCAGCCGTATGACCAAAATGACCTGCGGAACGAATAATAATAATAACGATAATGATAATAATAATACTAATAAGGAAGAAGAAGAAGAAGAAGAAAGGAGAGGGAGAAAGATAAGAGTGACAGCGTGAAATCTAAATGCATTGAACAAATATTTAGGGTCAACACGCCAACAAAAGGCGCCAACAGAGGAAACAAAACAAGACTATCCTCGGTAAGCTTTGCTTGAGCCGACGCAACTTATTTAAAATTAGTTGCTGCTCTGAAGAAATAGCCAGCTAACTCGCAGACCAACTTTCCCGTGGCGCCAGCTGGGCGGTCCTGGTTTGTCCTATTCCAACAAATGGTTCGGTAGCAGTTTTCCAGAAGTGGTGGGTTTTCATCTGACAAGCTTTCTCGCTATAAAAAGCCACATCATCGCCATCATCAGCAGCAGTTTATCAGCTATTTTCAGCCACATGTATGTGTAACAAACTGAGACATGGCGTATGTTATTCGCCACTAAAAAGTCACTGTCAATGCTTTATCCCGGTGGATCAAGGTATTCCAGCGGCTAGATGCAATCATTGTGCGTAGGATTGGGCTCCTGTTCGGTATCTAAGTGAAGAAAAGGCGTATGAATCGACAGATCCGTCACCGGCTCTTAATGAGCGTGATTATCTGAATTCGCCCCGCTACCTTGTGGGCAGGCTATTGAGGCAAAGTCTCGGGGTGACACCTCTACTTCGGTTTATGCAACCAAGTAGTATCGCACCTACTGCAAAAACCACAGATTGCACTGTTACTTTTCAGTGAGAGACTGGTATCCCGCCGTCTTCACATATGATTAAGCCTCTGAATACCACACAGGCCTTGTTGATACGCAAAGCAACCTTCTCAGTGATGTGACCACCAGAGGCGCCACAACTACTAAGGTATATAAACTGATCCATCACTTCCAGTGACTGTTCGCTGATAGCCAGAACCAATGGCGTGTCGGTCAAGTCCTACAATAGTGCATTTGTACTTTGGAGGTGTAAAGCACATGCCGAAACGTGCGGCGCTACTCATCAGTCCATTCATTGGTACTTGCATAGCCACTTCTTTAGACCTAAGGAAAGCTATGTCGAGCTATGTCGGTCGGTCACCTGGCAAACCTTCCACTCCAGCGCCATGTATAGTTGTTTCAGTCACAGAGTTATGTATGCAGAAAACGCTGGAGAACGCTACTTGTAGTGGGGATATCAAAAGATAGACACTAGTACGGCATCAGGAATAATAGTAGATAAACTGGGGAATGAAAAAGAGATTCTCTGGTATCTGTTTCCGGGATAGGCAGCAGCACAACGTCGCACAGTCAACAGTATCGAAAGATGCTCTCAGGTCAAGGAAGGCCACCATAGTCAGTCATTTGCGTGTCTACGTCACAGACGAAGAGTGAATACGTGGTCAATACAATCACAATTATGGCTGGAACCGGACTGAATCCTAATAATTCGGCTCTCACTATGACTGCTGGATCATCACTGAATGTCTGTAAGGAGTCTGGAGATAAATGAAATAAGATTAACGCTTAGATGACCTTCGCAGAGTCTAATGACTCTGAGGACGCGACGCCAGTAGACAGTCGCCGATTTGTTGAACAGAACGACAAAACCAGTTTCAGCACAGCAAGTTCATGCGGAATCTCTTTCAAAGTGGGATGTGTAGCACTAACATCCCATGTGAGCTCAGATGATTCAGCAAACGACTGTTGCAGGCATGCTGAACTACTACTTAGAATACCCAGTCTAACAGACTAGTCGACCTACCTGGAAGTGGATCGAATGCCCCTCTTCCTTAGCTGTCGTCCCACTGGGTATGTTGGAACACTCGTATTTACGCAGCAGTCCTACAGTTCTCAATATCTTGGAACATATTTGGAACCGATCGGGTAGTCATCATTTCAGAAAACTTGGTAGACGACCGGTTAATGTATTTATGGTCCTACTGTTCTTCATGCCACTCACCAACGATCTCGACCAATTTTAAGACCCTTAGTCACTCGTCATTTCAGTGTTAGTTGCAAGTTGAAACTAATTATCAAACGGAATCCGCTAACATGCTTCAATCAAACTCGACTCTTAAAGAATTCGCTCACCCTGACCTCTCAAGTTGGGCTTACAGCAGGTTCCGTCGCGCCTTCAAGACGATTCCAATCGGCAGTCGACCCACAGACGTCATTCGTTATTGGCAGCTAGTGGCGGCCGCGACATCATTGAATTGGACATTGACCCGGGTAACAAATGAGAAGTCTGCGAGTTCGGTGATTCATTAAAACCGAAAGAGGAAGTGCCAACGAGGTCAGAATTCAGGCAATGCTCCAAAATGTCTGACACTTTCGAACTGATGCGCGCTACGCGTTGCTGGTGTCAATATGTTTAATCTAGGCCCAGTTCTTTGGAGAATCGGTAGACACCAGGTGAAACCAACGGCTGCGTTTAAAACCAATGCTTTTATTACAATGACTGATGAGTACGTAGTTGCTAAATTGGATAACCATTACCAGTTCGGCGTGCACTGGCAGCGATACCAGACCGGGACTATAGTGAAACGTCACAGATTAAAGAGATAGCTGAGAAGTGTCCAGAATAAGGATGGGCCTAAGTGACACTAAGCTCATTTATAGCTTCAGGCCAGTCATGTCGGAAGACTAGCGGGATATCGCATAAGGCCGAAGCAGCGGGGATCCACACTAGATATCAGAATGAGACGTCTTAAGTATCGTGCTGTACATAGCTGCGATAAAACTTCACCTAAGTGGGGTGTGACACAATATGGTTGGCGGCATCCGATTCAGGATTTACTTGTCACTACGGCCTTTACAGAGCACCTGCGCTCACAGAGGGACCATAGGTGGCTTGCGCT